CCCTGACTTTCTCTTATTCTAAAATTTCTCATTATTTTTATGTAGCTTGACTTTGTTATTGCACCCCCAAAAAGTGATTTTGAGCCTCTGAAAGTACTTGATCTCTACATTTCACATAAAACCAGTCATTTCGTCAGTAAGACATTATGGCTCGCTTCTGCTTTGTGTATGAGAGCATATTTGTCTGAAAGCATTGTGTTCCAGTTCTCCAAAGCGCTGCTTGAAGTTAATTGGCATTGTTTGTCTTGCCATACATATTCTTTAGCTGAAAACTGTGAATTTTGCATGCTTTTGATTTCATTTAATAATCGGACCACTTTGGTTGTCATACTTATTAAACAGTGGTTTGTTGGAAGATATTCTATGCCCGTTGTGTTGCTTTTCGTATCATACCATCCTGGGGTTACCTTTCAGCAAGATAATGCCCACTCACACACAGCTATAGCTTCTACTGCTCGTCTTTGTACTTGCTCATCACAACCTTGGCCAGCAAAGTTGCCAGATCTCTCTATGTTTGAGAATGTTTGGTGCATTATGGGCAGATCTTGAGATTCTGTGGACCTAACACGCTATTTGGACAAAATTTGGCACAACGTCTCCTACAGGAGGACATCCACCAACTCTATCAAGCAATGCCAACTGAATAACTGCTTGCATAAGGGTGGACCAATGCATTATTGACATGTCCACTTTGTGAATTTTTTTCTCTTGAATAAATCATCACTTTTTATGAAATTGTACTTACCATATAAGATGTACTTTTTTTCCTAAATTTGGTCTCAAAAAAGCTACCTGCGTCTTATACGTGAAGGACACAGGTTAACTTTCAATACTGAATGCTATTTTTTAGCCAGTATAAAGGTGACACACATAACTTTTTTCTACATCTGCCATAATTATTTTGCCATACGTGAAATAGCTGTTTGCCAAAAGTACCAAGCTCGAAGCTTATGTCGAATTCAACAGGTTCGACAGTCACATTATGTTGTGGAGCCTTTCCTTCTTTACATAGACCTTCTTTGACCGCCGACACACGTGTCCGTATCGTGCTATTCTGTATAAACGTGTCGTAATCGGTGTTTAAAAACTTTGTTTGCACCTGGTGGACTCTTAAGAAAACCCTCTCTTTGGTTTTGGATCAGTTTAGGCTATAGAACTGAAACCTAAAGAATAAAGTGAGAAATTATAAACCGATAGCTGTCCATTCCTGTGGACTGACAGCCATTGCAGCCTTAGATTGTATCAGTGAAAATAAGCCATTTAAGAAAAAGTGTGAGACGTGAACAAGTGGATAGAGAGCCACACACACGCCCTCAAGGTAAGAATGAAGCGGCCTTCTATTTAACAAGTGTTCAATGCGTAAAAGATCTTAGGAGACATAAGGCTGAAGTATTGTTAAGTCATTTAAGAAGTGGGATCATAATGCTCTTGACGGAACAGAAACAACGCATATTGAAGAAGTGATACAAGCGATATGGAACATAGTGATGACTATTCTCGTTTTCGATGATGATGATGTGAAAAGGATTTTTATTTTTTGAAGTGATGATTCTAATTTCCTGTAGGCAACAATGTTCCTTGAGCTGTTTTTTTTTTTTTTTTTTTTTTTTTTTTTTTTTTTGTTTTTTTGTTTCTGCTTTTTTTGTATTATGTTTGATTGCTGCCATCATTCATTTAATCATTATGGAAATTTACATTGTTCAAAAATAGCTGTCGTTTGTTAATTTCCTTAATAAATATGTTTTGGTAATTGCATTCAATGATTGTTTATTTGGCTTTTACGAAACTTGAGAACTAAGAAACCACATTATAAGTTTGGACTGTTGAAACTTTTTTTCCTTGTGTGTGGCCTTCCAAATAAGGGTGCGTCTTATATGCCGTCAAATACGGTATTTGTTTTTCTGTACAAGTATATCACATCTATTGAATTTCATTCCATTTGGATAATTCCTTTTTTTTGGGGGGGGGAGGTTGGGAGCTTATTTAAATCCAAAATTTTGGGTTTGCGTTGAGGGGCCAGTTCATGTTTTTTTCCTTAAATGTCATTCTCATTATTTCATGCAATTTACTAATGTGTAGCATGCTTTAATTTATAATTTTGTTATATGTAGTATTCTAAAAGAATTTTTAACACATTCATAGCTTTCAAACACTAAATTTTCAGTGGAGCCTCTCACTGTTTTCTAGAAGATTCTCTGAATACTGCCTCCTTTTTGAAAAAATTTCTGTTAATACATTAAAGTTTCAAATCGTATTCAGATAACTTTTTGAAACTTAAACTCAGTTTTTATCATACAGGAGTAAAATTTTTTATAAAAAGTATAAACATTTCCTAAACATGTCTAAAAAAAGCATGAATGAAATATGAAAGTTAAGTTTGTCATTTTTACAAAATTCATTTTTGAACTTGAAAATGCCAAAAATTTAATATTCATATTATTTGAAACATTTTTGTAATTGGAAATATGTCTGTAGCCAGTGGTTGTGAAAATAAAGGCCACAGAAGGATTTATATGGCACAATGATTTTATCAGTTTTCTTTTCTTAATGTGCTTCCCTTTAACCTCTTAATGCATTCCACACAGTTAACTCTGGTACTGAATAAATACATTCAAGAAACTTTTTTCAGATATGAATACAACAGAATATATCAGCTAACTTTTAGGTGAGTTAAATTAAAATAAAAAATAAAATAAGAATTGGTGGAAAAAGACCACTTTTCTGAAATTTGCATTATTGGAAATTATTGGTGCATTAAGGGGTTAAAAGATGCTTATCTATGCAGTTTAGAAAATAACAGATTTGATTTTAATTTTCATTTCAGTTGCTGATCTCATCTAAAAGATTAGGATTTCCATACCTTGTAGGATTCATGAATTGTATCATACTCACTTTTCTTTTTAGTGAAACAGTACATCATTAAAATTATAGTTTTCATGGCATGTATTTTTGATTACTTACAATTAAAGTTTTATACTTCTTCTGCAGTCTTTTAGCAATAATTCCTTAAATTTTACTTGGACCAATACAAAATTTCACACATTTGAACAAATTTTCAGACAAAATGGCATGGTTTTTTGGACCTGCTAATTAAAACCTATACTGAAATCGTATTTAATAGCTAAATTACCTATTTTAGTCTCCATTTTCATAAACTTCCATACATTGAAATGATATTGAAAGAAAAGTATATTTTAAATTATCAACTAATATATACCAAAAGGAAAAAAAAAAAAAAATCTCATGACTGGATAAGGCGGTCAATGTTGCTCAGAAAGATAAGAAAATTACAAGGCATTTATACAAAAAATTTAAATGCAGTTTAATGTTCAAAAACAAATTAACATTTTTCATTATAACCAACAGTTTTAAAATGAATTAAAATGCTTTTCACTCTCATAACAATATTTTCTAAACTTTCAATAAAATGGGGGGGGTGCACAAACAAATGTAAACATAGCCTTAATAAGGCATAAGCATCAAACTTAAATGATATGTCAATAAGGCACATGCATTTAAGATACAAGTATACATTTGAGTATTTAAGAGAAATTCACTCTTACAGAGACAGAAGATTTTGGATTTGTTACAAAGAAAATACTAAAAGAGGCATACTAAAGTAACTCCAAATACAACATTGTTTTTAGAAATGCTAAACTCTTGGAACAGCTGCACTTTTCTTTCCTGCTGGCATTCCAAATTTATGGCTGAGGAGTAATACGTAAATAAGGTTTTCCAGATGGCAATTCTTTAACAGTAACTCCTTTGGGAAAAAGTTTTGGCAAATCTTCATTTTTAATATTTGGCAGTACCATACAGTCTCCTCCTTGCTATAAAAGTACAAATTTTAGTCTTTAGAATTTGGGACTTGGTATTTTGATAACTTCACTATATATATATATATTAATTACAAAGTAAAGTAAAAAAGTGGGAACGTAAACTAAATATAAAAATGTAAAGGTAAGCATAATTTCCTATCTCCGTGAAATAGGTGCAAACACAGAATTACATCTATTGAATGATAAACAAAGAATCTAAAGAAAATCACTAAAACTACTATGTAAGATACTTGAAAATTTCATCTAAAATGGTACAAAGTGAACCAACCATTTGAGACTTAAAACAGCATTTGCAATTATTTTATCATAAAATTTTAAATGTTTCAGATGAACTCGGATCTTTTTTATATATGCAAAACTGTGAGAATATCTGGAAATTTTTTTATTTAAATTTTTTTTTTAAGGATCTCGTTTTACTAGTTTAATTCTGTTTGAACAAGTACCTCAAACTAAGAATTTCTTACTCATTTTAATTATTGTTTATGACAAGACCTTTGGCTCAAGCAGACTAATTTCATATTTTTATTTTATAATTCCTATGTGCCATCTTTCTAGTTTTATACTGAGGATCTAATATCCAGAAAAATCACAACTCTGGAATTGCAGAAGTCCTGATCTCGGACTTGGTTCTGTAAAATATATAGGGAATAGAAAATTTCCATATTTAATTTCCAAATTGAGAAAATTTATTACAAAATTCTTTTTAATACTTTATGAATAAATTTTTGGAAAAAAAAGTCAATGCTTACTAATACACATTGATTTAGTGCAGTGCAATTGAAAATCTGCAATATAAAGCAATTGTATTTTGAAATACACATTCACAGCTGATGCCTACCGATATATTATATTCTTTCTTCTACATGTTATCTTTGCAAACTAAATGCTAAACTTTTGCTTACCTTCCAGTCAACAGGTGTAGCAACATTTTTATTATGAGTCAATTGCAATGAGTCCACAACTCTTAAAACCTCACTGGGGAAAAAAAAAGCATTTGTTAAAATACAATTAAAAGTACACTTTAAAATGAAGCAATATTAATAGCACTTGTATTAATACTCCAACATATAGAATACTCTGAATTTTGTTGCGTTTTGACAGAAATATCAGATAACATATTTTATGTCTGCATGCAAAAGGGCATTCAGACAATATACATGCAGTTTTTTTTTTTTTTAAATATTTAATTATTTTAACCATTTATGGTCTTAACACAGAATGAGTATGAGTTCAGTAAACCTGTGCTTTGCAGGAATAAGAATAATTTTTTACTCGTCTATTGTTAGGCATATATCTTGAATCTTATTCTTTGGAACTGCATTTTTCATCTTTCAAATTTTTAAAGTATTCCAGAAAATTTTTTTTGTTGTTCTTGATCCAACAGGTTTCTACTCTTTTCATATTGCATCTCCTGGATTATCTCGACTGCTGCAATGTCTCCAATTTGCTGGATCAGATTTTTTTTTTTTTTTAAATTTCAATAACTATTCATAATAACTTCTACTGCTGGCATTTCCACAGATCTAGCAGAGGGCTAATGAGGAATCAGTCTAAAAGCAGTAATTATCTTTCTGTGAAAAGTGGTTTTTAAAAAGTTGTGTATTTTTGCAACAATCAATGCTTTCATCAGATCTAACTATAGCAAAGTTAACTTCTTTACTGGTGCTACTCTGTATTTACATGTAAGCTAACTTCAGAATTGTTCATCTGATGTTTTGTAGTGGACATATGCAACAGCCCCGTATACGAATTCACTAGTCAGCAAAAATATGTATTTGGATTTCATTGAGGTCTGTTTTGAAATGATAGGTATTAACAAAGTTTCCAGTTTAGAAATGTATCTGCATCAATAAACCCATTTAATTTTCAAAACCCTCACTTACCTATTTATCCCATCCTACACCTCTCTCCCATAGTTCTTGGGAAAAAAAATCTTCACTAATTACAGCTGGTGTAATTAATCTAACTGGTAATACATTTTACATGCTTATTTCAAAACACTTCTTCTTGCATTCTGTCTATTCTCTAACAATAGCAAAATAGAAGAAACCTCAAAATTAAATTCATTTGTTATGGCATTTTAAACTACACCCAGTATTTTCAGTGGTACTATACAATTTTTAGAAATTAAATGATTTTTAAATCCTGTACCACTCAAAATTTTCAAAAGCTCCTTTGAATTCGTTTGCTGTTTTCTCAGATTTATAGCTGTGTCAAGATGAATTTTGCATTAGCAGATCAATTTCAAGCTTCAAATACGAATTATGTTCCTACCAACAGATTATCAATATACACTGAGTGGCCAAATTATATTGGATTGCGATTTCCAAACACATGAGTAATTAAATTCTCTCTTCTGATAATTGGAAGTTTTAAATCATCCTCTAATGATTTCAAAATACAGGAATGCACTGAAGCAGTATCAAATAATACCCAGATAATTTTTGACCTGTAAGGCATTAATTACGGTTCTCACGTAATACAAAAATGAATTTAAGTTCCTTACTTGCTTGCAGTGATACAGATGAAATTATTGTTTGTACTCATTCACTTTTGTATTAATACATTTATTCAGTGAACTTTCAGTTTAAAAAAAATTTTTTTTGAAGCAAATCTTCTTGTGACTATTACGATTATTTTTCTACAAGGATTTAATACAGATCTACAAATAACATTCAAATCTGACTTTTTACAGAATTTAAAACTCTGCATATACACTTTGACTTTTAGCTTGTTTTGTTTTTTTAGCAGGCAAAAGAACTTCACATTGAAATGAATGTTGCTCTGTGTCGCCAAATCCACAATTAAATTTTACACTAATTAAAAAGCTGCTTTTGGTTGACTGATATGCTTTTGCTTTTTTTTTATTAGTATTTATTTCACCTTAAAGTAGTTTCTAGGAACTGTCATATTTTTTTATTTCTTTGAATTGTGTAATAAGATGGATGATGCATCATGACATTCTGTTTGTTTCAATTTTTAAGAATTCAACAAATTCCAAAACATCAAATTCTGTTTCTGATTTCCTTTTTCTATTGTATTCTAAATCTATCTTTTCTAGAATCAGTTTCAATAAAACCAGGCACAATAAATGATTGTTACTTCCAGTAACTACAGTTTCCAGGAATAGAATATTTAGTTTCTTCTTCATACAATTTTTGAAGAGCAATACCACAAGCATGCTTCATTGGATCTAGACTTAATAGCTTTGTCATATAACTATTAATTACAATGTCATTCATTTTGAAACATTCTTTTAGCAAAATGATGATATTTTTATTATAATTTCCTCTTGTTAGAACAAATCCTTTAATTGCATTCAACGCTATTCCCCTAACAAACTTTTCAGATATAAAAAAATTGCAATGTCAGATAAATTTCCTTTTCCATGAATGAAATTTTTAAACTAGCTCCAAAAATCAAGCAACATGCTTACATTACTATAATACTTTGAGATACTCAATTTTGAAAGCTTCACTAGTTTTGGCTGAGAAATAACAGCATTGTTACCAAAAGCCCTTTTCAAATTGTCTGCATTAATTAGTATTTGCGCTACGTTTTGATTTAGTTTTTTCTTTCATATACCTTGTTTTCATGTTTGTCTTATCACAATGCAGACAGCTTCATGGCAAAGCACCAGAGTACAGCTCCCGACTTTGCTTGGTCGTTCTCGGAACTCCACGTACTCTCGAGACTCTCCACACTACAACTCGCGATGCACTTGAGAACACACAGAGCACAGCTCGACTTCGGTTCAGACTTTCCCGGAGTCAAACCACTCTCTTGACGAGCAAACTGCAATAGACTAAGAGACTCTTTCGATGCACTCGACGACCCACTCGGCCCGGCTGTCAACTTGATCAACTCCGCATGGACTGACTATCTCGAACTCTCTCTCCGAGTACCAGCAGGGTTTATATAGTTTTTGGCTTTTCTTCGAGAACATTCTGGGCTAAACCGGTAAGAATTCGTTCCAAAAGGTTCTCCATCCATACATGGCATATCGCCAATTTTGTTGGCAAGTGGGCGATTTCTCGCCAAATGTGGCAACCCTAGAAATCTCAGGTAACTGGCATTTTCAATCATTAAAAATATAATTTAGGGTGAACTACCTGTGTTTTGCTGCTTTAATCACTCAGTCAACTGTCTTAAGAAAGGCCTTCCCACATTAACTTCCCAAATATAATTTCATTCATTCTAAAGTTATATGGCATATATTTATTATTATGCATGGCAAACTCTGTAAAAGTATCATTCAGTCACAGAAAACAGAAGATAGTACAAATAATTAGCATCTAGGGTAGCATCTTCCATTCGTTGAAATAAGAGCGAATGCATTACCTCCAATTTGATATACTATATCAAGCGATTCATTTACACTGAATTTCTATAAAAATTCTACTGCTAGAAATCTAAAAATGAGTACCACAAACTTCCAAAAATGTGATTATTGTTACCATTCATAATGATAAATAATAACTTTAACTTAATATTAACAAGCTAGTTGTGGCTAAACTGATAAGCAACCTGAATACAAATTATTTAATAATAAGTTTGATTCCTGGTGAATGAATGGCATGGCTGAATTAGTTATTAGATTTTTTTCCTACACATATATGAATATCAACTACTTCCACAGCAGGTATGCATTCCTAAGAAAGTTAGTTTGAAATTTATCTTAGAACCTGAAATTATTATAGTAACATATCTTATGGTCTTTGTTTATTCTTAATATTTATTACAGTAACTTATCTCCCTGTGGCTTTCATTTCTAAGCTTATAAGCTAACAATTTAATTGCATCACTCATAATCCAAATGCACCATATTTTATTGCATATAACTTTCAGTGTTTTAAAGGGGGAGGGGATTTAAAGGTACATTTTAGTTATAGAACAGAAATATCCCTTTCCAATTTACATATTATGTAGCGCACATTTTTTTCACCTTAATTTATGATATATAATATTCAGACATCTAATATTTTTCACCCTTCCTTTTAAATGACTATTTGAAATGTATATAAAGATTCTTACTTAAAGTTACGTCCAGTGCTAGCAGGATACAACATGGAGAGTTTCAACCTCTTATCAGGTCCAATGATAAACACCTATAAGAATAAATGCTTGTCATATTCCATTAATTTACTTCAAAACTTTTTTAAAGAAATTAATACAGCTGATAAAATTTAGATAAAGTTACTTTTTCATTTATTACAAATTTATGCAATTTATTCTTGCTAAAACATATGCAGATAGTTAACTCAAAAATATACATGTATCTCTCTTATTTTTAAAAGAAAATAATAAGTTCTAAAAAATGAATGAAAAATAAGTCTGCAGTTTAATTCCAATACACCTCTTGCATAAAATTGAATGTGTTTAATGCGCATAAAACTAAATTCAATTTTCTCACTGCCTGAAAACAGTGGTTGCAGGTTTTATTTCTTCATTGCTAATTCTAAACAAATATTTCGAATTACATATTTCTAAAAATACAGAGCAACATCTTACAAAACAATAGCAGGTCAGCATAGTTTTTTTACACCTTTTATACAACTTTTTTACTTTTATACTGATTAATTTATAAGGTGATAAATGTACTCATGTTTTAACGTATGCTTCTGAACAAGAAATCACAGATTATGATAAATTAAAAGCACTAATCTTGAAAGAATTTCAGCTGACACCAAACGAATGCTTGAATAATTTTAAAAGTACGCAGAGATATTCATCTGAATCGCATGTTCAGTTCGCGTCTCGACTCAGTGCAACTTTCGATTATTATCGTAGGTTAAGACAAGTAGATGATTTTAAGAAATAGTGTGATGTCATTGTATCTGACAAGTTGTATGAAACGTTTTATTATAAAACAAAGAAAACTATAGTATTCGTATTTGTGATTATTATTTATATTATATTAGTATTTGTCAGGGCCAAAATTGGTTCCCACCTAATCAATTGGGGAGAGAATGTTATTTATTTTATTCATGCAGGGGTAAGTCTTTAGCTGATACCAGTAACAAGCAAATCAAAACTCCAGAAAATAAAAAGCTTAATTTTTCCAAAAACAATCTTAGAAACGCACAGAGCAATTTGAAGGATTCAGGGTATAAACTCATAAATCAAAATAGTAGTAAAACAGAACGTATTTTCTATGTATGTGGGAATAAGGGTGAACTGTTTCATTTTGTGAAAGACTGACTGCCCTAAATGTTTCGAAAAGAAGGAAAATTTATCTCAAAAAAAGATATCTGATTTAAAGATTTGGTCGAAGAGTGCAGCTAGGAATGAGTTACAATTTATTGCAATGTTAATTGATGGTAAGAAAATAAAATGTTTAATAGATTCTGGGAGTGAATTGATAGTTTCTGGATTAATAGAAATCAAAAGTTTAGTCACATGGTTCAAGCGGAAGAGGCTAAGTTTATTTATTTATTTTTTTATGCGAAAGCGAAAAACAAATTGAACTAGAGATAGTGATGGTTTATGAGTTGATAGCAGATTGTATTCCCTCCTCTCATGTTTAGTTGGCATCTGCTCTGATAGGCTGATGATCATGCAATATGAAAAATGACTCCATCTCTTCGAAAAGGAATTTTTTGCTTTTTATTTTTGCAGCCACTGAAGGAGACCGTGAAATAGACTTAACACACATTACAGATAAAGGATTATGTAATACTGTTTCAACTCTTATTAAAGAGTATAAACCATGAGAAAAGCCGCACAGTATAGACTTGAAAATCAAAGTAATATTAAAAGATGAAATTACAGTTTCTCAGCATTCAAGGAAAATACCTTTTGCTGACCAAAAAATTGTTGATTACCAAATACAGGAGCAGTTAAGGCATGGGGTTATAAAGCCATCTTGTTCGGAATATGCTTCGCTAACTGTTTTGTGTAGAAAAAAATGTCATAAGATGAGGATGTGAGTTGACTTCTGGAATTTGGATAAAAACATAGTTAAGGATTCTTTTACCATGGCACAGGTAGAAGAGGTTTTTAATCATTTGGGTAAAGCAAAGGTTTATTCAATGTTAGACTTAAAAAAAAAAAAAAAAAAAAAAAAAAATTTTTTTTTTTTTTTTCTTTTATGTTCTGGTGGAGGAACATTGCACTAAATATTTGGCATATATTACACATGCAGGTCTGTACGAATTCCTAAAAGTGCCTTTTGGTTTGTGCACGTCACTGAGTGTGTTCCAAAGATTTATTTATAATGTGTTTAGAGATTTAATTTGGGATGACACTGTTGTTACTTATATGGATGATTTTATTATTCCAGCGCGAAACGAGAAAGGTGGTTTAGAAAAGTTAAAACGCGTTTTGGAAATAGCCAAAGAATACGGTTTGGAGATCAATTTTAAGAAATGCTCGAAGAGTTTTGAAAAGAAAAATAGAATTTCTCAGGTATCTCATTAAGGATGGTACAATTCGCTCCTCTTAAAAAAAAACAGGGCTCAAAAACCTTAAGCAGATTCAGAGCCGGGTATTTTAGGAAATTTATTGCCAACTATTCGAAAATAGCGAAACCACTAAGTGATCTTTTCATAACAGAGTACAATTCAGATTCAAGCCTGATCAAAAAGAGGCATTTAACAAATTGAAAGAACTTTTATCTACAAGTCTGGCCCTTCATATTTTCAAACAGGGCAAACCTTTGGAGTTACATACAGACGATAGCAGTCATGGTTTCGATTCAGTGTTGCTTCATCGCTCAGATGATGGACAGCTGCATCCCATCCATTACATGAGTAAGAAAATATCACCCCAACAAGAAAATATGTCGAGTTATAAACTCAAAGTGCTAGCGATTGTTGAAGCCTTAAAACAAATTTCAAAGTTATCTCTTAAGGACAAAAATCAAAATATTCCAAAAATAGCTAGATGGGCATTACTACTCAAAGAGTTTGAATATGAAGTTATCTACTGATCAATTCAACAGATAAGACACGGCGCACTGAGCAGGTATCGTTCGCAAGGTGCAATTGCCACTAAGACTGCAACAGCGCAAGAGGCTGATGAGCGTCTTCAGTTATTGAAAACTCTGGGCGAGAAAGGACTCAGACATGACTACCTGCTAAAAGATAATGTCTTGTATTCTGCAGAAGGAAGGTTGAGAACTCATCGTTGTGCCGGAAGCGATGGAATTAGAGATTATTCGTCACATACATAACAAAGGACACTTTGCTGTACAGAAGACAGAAGATTTGTTCAAAAGAGATTTTCATATTTCAAACGCTACAAAGAAAATAGAGCAAGTTCTAATGAACTGTGTTGAGTGAATCCTCTGTAATAAAAAGTGAGGCAAAGCAGAAGATCTGCTGAACCCAATACCAAAGAGCAACATTCCTTTAAGCACATACCACATCAATTTCACAGGATCCTTGCCATCTACAGATAAGAGATATCCACTTATCTTTACAGTGGTAGATGCTTTTGCAAAATTCGTCTGGTTTTTCCCAGTCAAGACACCATCAGCAGCAGAAGCTGTACAGAAGGTAAAAATCCAACAAGCTGTCTTCGGAAATTCCTCAAGAATTATCTCTGACAAGGGATCTGCTTTCACTTCAAAGGACTTTGAAGATTACTGTAGAGATGAAGGTATTCAGCACATGCAAATTACAACAGTAGTGCCTCAAGCCAACAGCCAGCTTGAAAGAATTCATGGAGCTCTTATTCCAGTGCTTGCAAAACTGTCAATAGATAATCCTGCTAAATGGTTCAAGTTTGTTCCTGACGTCCAATGAATCATCAACATCACCGTTAGAAGATCTACAAAATTCACTCCTATCGAATTGATGACAGTCATGAAAATGAGAAACAAGGCAGACCAAAGAATCAAAGAAATCTTTAATGAAGATTTTCTGAACTCCCCAATCCAGGAGAAAAAGTCTATCTGTTAAGACGGCAAAGAGAATATCTTAAAAGTCCAATAGGAGAACCGATGACAATACAATCGACATCACAGAACCACTCCAATTTACAAAGTCAACGACCTAGTAGCCATTAAAAGAACCCAGATAGGGGGAAGTCTCAAGCGAAGGCCTAAATTCTTAGGACCTTATAAAGTGGTCAAGGATAAGACACATGACTGCTACGATGTAGCAAAAGTAGGATCTCTTGAAGGACCTGAAGCAACTTCCACTTTGGCTGACCACATGAAACTCTGGTTTTGTATGGAATTGTAACCTGAGCTAATTCTATTGCAAACTGTTTTTTCAAACTTTTGTGTGTGTGTTTGTTTTGTTTTTACAGATGTGTTCCAGTATTTGAAGGTCCTCACATGTCGATGGCCAAGCGCTGTGGGATTAGTGCCTCAACGATGCACCAGATGGTGTTATCTGCATCTAAAATAGGAACCCACGCATCTTCACTTGGTAGGGAAAGTCCGAGAGAAGCGGTTTAGCGCAACACTCGTGAAGGAGCTAGCAAAAATACCTGGACTGCATCAAGAGCATAGAAAAAATACCTGGACTTATCTAAAGTGACCACATGTAGGTGGTCAGCTGTATCATGTACCTGGAAGTGTTATGATTTCTCTCCTAAACATAATCAATTCATCTGTATATATATTCATTCTGTTTATCTTTTCTTCTGTTGAACCTGATGTTGATGATGATGGGAATAAAACCTGATGTTCTGAACAGTGGATGTGATCTATATTTAATGATAAGACATCACCCCCCACATAAATAACTAATTAAAAACTGTAGATTGCACACTACATCATTACTAAATATTTACTCTTCATAAATCCATTGTGTAATCAAATAATTACAATGGAAAATGATATTTCTAACAATGAAGATGAGTGGGATTTACAGTTACATAACATGAATGTAAATAGTGCTACTGCAGATTGTAATTCTAACAATAATTGTGACACTAGTAGTGCTTCTGACAATAACTCTGATAACACTAAAGTAGTGTGCCCTAAACGAAGGAAACTCAAAGACTTTTATATAGTAATGATAAAGAAATAAATGTTTTAGATGAAAATGATTAATGGGAAGACACTACAGATGATGAAAATATACACCCAATATACCTTCCAAAAATACTTGGACTCCCAAATTCTATGAAACAAAATTTAACCAATATACTTTGCATAATTATATTTTACTTGAACTGATAAATAACATTACGAAATGTATATGCAAATAAAAAAATTAGCGCCTATTGAGACATGACCAAAAGTTCTCTATGGAATACATGGAAAATGTTGACAAAGAAGCAGTTTTTGCCTTCATCACAGTAATTTTGAATATGAGTGCAATGCCCTTGAGTAACAGACTAGAATGTTAGTTAACTAATGAGGCCAGTCATACTCCTTTTTTTCCTCGGCTGCCAAAAAATCGCTACTACCTTCCATTTCTCAAAATTACTGGAAGACATATGCGGGCTGGGGATTGTTACAGCTGTATATATGATCAATTACAGTCATTCAATTATAATAACCATTATAGTTACACAAGGAATGGACTTAAATGGTCACAATAGTCTTTAAAACCATTGTTACCTTGCAATATCTTGACAATTTAGCGAGATAACCATTTACTCAATGCTAAACAGACTTGCCCCTGTATTTTTATTTTTTCGACAAAACTTCGCCCCTTCAGATTATACAAAAAGTACTAGTTACCTATAAAATTTTACTAAAATTATTTACATATGTAAAACATTCGTAACAATATTTACAAAAATCTTGCTGTTACCTGAATAAATAGATAAAAGATTTTCCCCATATTTCACACCAAATTGCCTTACATTCTTAGCACTGATGAATCTGCAGTAAAATTTAACTTGAAAATTAGTTTTATAACTTGTAATACTAAAAAACCAATGGGAAATTAAAATTTATGTATGAGCTGACACACACATAGTGAATAGATCTATTTATCTATACAGGGTGATTCAAAATTTATCATTCAGATTTCATGGGAAGGTATGAAAGACATCTGGAAATTGATTTCATATAGGAAAGTATGTCTGCAAAAGTCATCTACATGAACAAAATGGACAAGTTTTAATAACACAAGGAAAAGTTAGTTAAGTGGTAATGAATATGACCTTTATTCCAACAAGGTAAAATACAGGTTCACAATAGGTGCTCAAAATTGCCACCATTTAGATGAACACAGGATTCACAGCACCACTGCATTGACCACCAAACACTTTCAAAAACTCCCGGCATATTGCGAACAATTCCTGCAACAGGGTCCATTTCACTGTCGAAGGGGGTCTCGTAAACATGGTTTTTCTTGCCTCCCACAAAAAGAAATCCATTGGCAATAAATCAGGTGATCTGGGTGGCCATGCGATCGGTCCACCTCTGCCAATCCACTAAGTTCCAAATCTTCGGTTCAGGTAACCACGTACAACAACTGTTCATATTGATACCACATACCTCAGTGGTTATGTGCAGGAACAGTCCCCAGAAAAGTTGGTAACACTGTCTCGCCTGCTGTCCAATCAGGGTGGTAAGTAAGGTTATAAGGTATTTCTCCCACCTTCTTCACGGTGTAGTGGTCTGCACGCTCAGCGCGTAATTGAGAGGTCCGCCATTCGATTCTCGGCGTTGCATATTTTTCATCTTTCCTGCTTACAAAAAATTCCTAATGTCTCTACAGCGGCACCCAAATTAAAAGGGTGTTGGATGATGATTCTCCTCACCCAGGATTTTGGCGATTGGGTCCCCTAAAAGAGGGAGTATATAAGGTACTTCTCCCGCCTTCCTACCGTGCCTTCGTGGTGTAGTGGTTCTGCACGCTGGGCCCGGTTTTCCAGAGGTCCGTTGTTCGATTCCTGGTGAAAGCGGTTGCTAATTTTTCATCTTTCCTGCTTCCAAAAAATACCTAATGTCTCTACAGGTTCCGTCCCAACAAACAGTCATCAATAATTCCAACCCACACATTAACGGCAAAACGTTGTTGTGCAGCATGACTTCTCATACCATGCAGGTTGTTGTACACCATGGTATGAGAAGTCACCTTTCACGAGTGAATGAAGCTTCATCTGTAAAAAGGACAAAAGCTGAAAAACTAGGGTCCATGGCACCTTTCAGCATGAACCATTGAGCAAATTTCACATGCTTCAGATAATCATTAGGATGCAGTAACTGCACCTTTTGCGGATGGTAAGGATGTACACGTTCCTCGTGCCGTATCCGCCACACTGCTGACTGAGAGAACCCAAGCTGTAGAGAAATAACTCGTGCGCTGGATTATCTTCAATGGACTGTAGAACGTGTTCACCACGTCAGTCATCTTCTCCCCATATCCTGCATGTTGCTGCACAGTGAAAGATGTTCGCACAAATTGTGATGAGCATGCGCAAGCATTTGATGCTGTGGTATTCATCTGTTGAGGTACAAGTCTTCATAAACTTGCCTAGCTATTTGCGAGATTCATATATGCTAGCTCTTGATGAGTAAAACAATTCAGCTTATCACTAGTAAGTCAGCTTGTATACTGATTGATTACAGCAAGAGTGGTCGGGCGAGCTGTACACTGGTATTTGCAGACATACTTTCCTATGTGAAATCGGTTTGCTGACACCATGCCTACCTCCTCACGAAATTCGATCAATAAGTTTTGAATCACCTTGCATATAATCAATTCTTTCTTATTATGAAAGGTTGTTTTCAGAAATCAAGATGTATCTATTACTGCTAAAGTACCTTTAATGTTATATAAAATGTTTTCGGATAAAATTTCTGCTGCACAAGGATTTCCCATGTATGCCAAAAGACTCCACAAATATCGAATTAGCAAGAGAACTGCTATAAAATAAGTGCTATTTAACAGATACCATAAAAACAAATAGAAAAGGTTTTCCATAAAAACATACAGAAAAGGAATATACAGAGTTTATGTTAATTAATTCACTTAGCTATGAGTTGGATCTGCATTGTCACTTCTCCTTTTATTAGCCCTCAGGATGCAAATGAGATACAACTATTTAAAGAATATTGAATATTTTGAATTTTCAGATATACAGGATTTGGCAGTAACACTTGCAATTTGTGCTTTCCCTATTAGCCAATCTGTTAATTTGGCATTAGCCAATTTGCTATCCAAAGATAAATCATGCAATTTAAAGTAGATTAAAGTTTAGACAGGCCAATTTGTGCCGCCTCTGGCTACAAACCCATTTAAATTTGAAAATCCGAGTTTCTGCAATTTAGTACCCACAAGTAGTGGAATTTGATTTGTATGCACAAATTGTGCCATTGTTAAGTTCAAGCTTTAAATGAAATACTTATAACTTCCTAAGAACTTTTGTAGTACTTTCACAGATAGAGAAGCAACTCATTTGGCATTCTAGTACAGTCCAAAGAAATTACTGCTATTACATAAAAATATTTTCGCTGTAAAAATAGCACTTGCTATTTGCCTAGAAAGCCAAGCGAATTATAAGAAATTACAAACAAAATTAGGATACGAAATGTCAGAATAATACACAGCAGTGACATTCACATACTAATAAATCCAGCATGCTTTTAAACTATACATATTTTAGATTTAGAAATATATACATATTTTAGACTATAATACAAACAAAGTGGCTTAATATGCACATCGTTGATTGAGCTATTGATTATGCAGCTTCCTGTTTTTTGTGCATAAGTTTTAAATGGTGATGAAATATTTTTGGGGCTGGAGATTTCTACAGTACTAATACGTATTTTTGGTACATAGAAGTAAAGAAAAACAAGAAATTCCCTTAAATCATTTCAAATTTGTAAAGCATTGATTACTGAATTGAGAGCAGATTTTCAAATGGAAAAAAAAAAAAAAAAACCTTGGGTCAACATAGTACACTTGAAAAGCAACTTGATTGAACACTGCACATTTCACATTCTAGAAATAAAAAATATAGTCAAGTATGCTCCTATAGAAAAATGACTGGAGGATGAAAACAAACATCAACATATTCTGGGAACCCTTTGTTGCATTTAGGGGACTGTTTTCAAAAATTTCATATTATGAAAGATCATAAAAATTAACTCAGTAATAAAGAATTATAACTTCAATTTTTCATGTATGTTATCTTAACTTTAATTTCTTTAACCCAAGTTCGCATGTATTATTATGATGATAAACATACCATAACAATTTAACCATACCCCTTTGATCTGTTGGTCTGTATTATAATAATAAATTCCGAGGGTTAAGGGTTAAAAAAGTTCATATTTAAACTTTACGTCTGCCGAACCTCAATAAAAAATAACATTACTGATGTCTAAAAGAAATGCTGCTTTTATAGTTCACCTATAGAAGCAAATCATTTATACTTTTTGTGATACTTATTTCCAAGCTATAATTAAATTTTAGCTTATTAAAAACACATGAGAATGGCCTTTTAAAATTGTCTTATATTATTTTCTTCCCAGAATATCATCATCTCCTGAGAAAGTAATTTCTTTTGCGCTACATCATATATTAAGTGCTTCTTTTGAAATAGAAAGCTCAATATATGATATTACTTTGATGCATAGAACAATGCTATTTCCTTCACCAATTGAAATAAAAAAAAAAACATGGACTTTTGAGCAGCTAAACTTCCTTCTTTAAACTTCTTTTATAAAACTGTTTCAATAATATTTTATTTCTTAGCTAGTAGATGAACAGTATTATCTTTTTTATCTTCTATTATTTTTTTTTTTTTTTTTTTTTACTTTCCTTAAACTGAAACATAAAAAGGCCATACCACAATGAACACAATTTTTAGAAAATTTCTTTTCATACATCTATTGAAAATAATCCATGAAAATGCTTCCTATCAAAATAAATTTACATACAGCTGTACAGGTCAATGGTAGTCCTGCTTTATCTTTCTCATCGGGATCTCAGCCTTAAAATACAGTAACTCCCTTTTTCACAGTATAATGGAGAAGGACACCATCACCTTTTAAGCAAGCGTAGGCTTTTATGTCCTAAAAAATACAGTAATAAATTATACAATCACAAGTATATTAACAATTTAAACAAAACAAATGCATATAATTCCAAAATACACAACTGAATACTGAATGTAATAATAAAAATACATAATAAAAACATTCTGATCCTATTTCTCATAACACTTTTTTTTTTTTTTTTCATGTTAGAGGATCAGGTCATGTTCCTTCCTTAATTATATTATTTCAAAATCTCAAGTTTATGGATATTTACATGAAATGAACTGGATATTTACATGAATGATTTTTAAAATAAAATAAGTAATTAATTTTAAGTGTATAAATGGCTAATAATATTTAAGGATTTAAAGAAAATTAAAACAGTAGAAAAAGAGAAGCAAAGCTCTTAAATGTCTTTTTATGTTCTACTTCATTCTTCATTTGTTATACATCAAACTGAACCTCCCCCCAAAAAAAATCTCGAGAAAAGCACTTCTGGCTATTACTTTAAAGCTACAAATGTTAATGTCTTTTTTCTGAAATTTTTATTCATGTTTGATGGCAGTTCTTTATGATAGGTAATGAATTTTTGGAGGTGTCACTGAAATATTATTGTCTAATTAGTCACTTATGTATGGAAAAAAGATAAGAATTTTACAATAAACACTTTTAATCACACCTATATAAAAAAGTAATCATAGAACTTGAATACAATGAGCTCTCATAGGGTTTGTACACATTTTTGCATATGGAAATTAAGGACCTATGAGCAAATGGGAAC